AAAATAAATTAATAGTTGTTAGATCTCCTGGGGTTTTTTGCATTCTAAGATGATCAACCATCAGAAATGACATGGGGCATTACTCTGAGTGTTAAAAGAGGCATCTTTACCTCCTCATTAGGTAGAAATGGGTGAAATCTCATTACTTTCTTTCAAAATGTGGTCCCATGGGTTTCATTAATTAATTGACCATTCCAACCTCACCATCAGGGAAAACTAATTGTACACATTTGTAATCTAAATATCTAAGGCCCCATGACATATTTAAAAATGTCTGCAATTTTTGTAAAGAACACAACAATTAAGCACAAACAACACAGTCTTTTTCTTAAGATCAATATTTAAACCAAAACAGCAACTTCAACCAATAATTGATTGGCCCATTTTTTTCCCGAGACCACTACATTATAGAAATGTATTAAAAATCTTTTGTGTTGGGGAACTGTTGTTCAATATTATCTTTTGTTAGAGGAATCAAGGAATATTGTACTGCAGTAAAATTAATAAGCAATTTCCAAAATTACCATATTTACCAAGTTTACATATCTTCAGTCAAAATGTATAAAGGAGATAAAGGAGTGGATAAAGGAGACATTAATTCACACTGTACATTAAAAATTTGATTTTGACTTGGATCTTTTTCAAAATTTGGAACTAACACTAATGCTCTATCCCACTATTAATGTTTAAAAAATATTTTCCTTTTTTTTAGTCTATAGTCTATAGTTTTAGCCTTCTTATTCCTTGGATGTGATCTCCTTGATTATAAGTTCTACCTTTATGATGTCTTTTTCGTAACTGTTATATAGTTCCATATAACACAAACGCTCTTAGTGCCCAAGAACAGGTTTAAAGACTGGGGAAATAAAACCATCCTCGTCTCAGGTGACTTGGCGCCCTCTTGTGGTTGTAGTGTCGTGACCAAGAGGCGAGAACTACAGGTAATAGTATGAGCAATTGAACTGACAGCTCTTCAATCAAAAAGATAACTCCAAGAAGAAATTAAGAACTTTCAAAACAACTGGCAATTCAAGCATTTAAAACATATTATCCTATCTCTTTTATCCAGTAAAAAAGACCTTATACACAAAACCTAGAATCATTTTTTTTTTAAATGTAGAAAACCTTTGTGTATTGGAGAACAAATTCTGACAAGGCTGATTCTAGATTTAGGTAGTATTCAAGCTGATTAATTCCCCTTTTATTCAGTGGGGCCCAACTTGTTTAATCATAATAACCATAAAATGATTTTACTCTGAGTTGATACACACTGGCAATTATATTTTATCTGAAGTGTTACCAATAACGGCACTATGTGAAGTTGTAAAAATGATTTTTTTGGGTTATTTTGATTACAAAAATCAATTGTCCTATACATTTCTTCTAGAATCACATACTGTACATACACAGTAATTTTAAAATTTACCTTGTGTGTATCATTAGTCTTGGAGACATTTTCCATCAGCATGAATACAATTATACAACAGTATACACCCAGCACATGCATAATTCAAGAGCAGAATAATTTTCAGCAATTTCCAAATTAAAAAGGGAATTAGAAAATCTCTGGGCCATCCATTATCAATAAGTCACTTGTGAGGGTGCTATAAGCACAGGGCACAATTAAGAGTTGAGAGCTCAGTCCATCACTGGGTCACAGAAGCAGGGAGTTCAGAGCTGCTAATCAAAATGCAAAGATACAAACTACTGTACACAAAAAACAGAGATTCAAGGTTGGAAATAAACACTGTGAGGCAGCAGCTCCAAACATGCCACTATGCTCAATGCCATATACTATACAGTACATACTAAATACAATTAGATTTTATTCTTTCAGATGCTATTCATTGCCAGCAACCGTATCATCCTGGATCTCACAACTGGCAGCCCACTAAAGCTAAGCAGGAGGGTGCCTGGTCAGTACCTGGATGGGAGACCTCCTGGGAAAAACTAAGGTTGCTGCTAGAAGATGTATTATAGGGGCCAGTTGGGGGTGCTCAATCTGCGCTCTGTGTGAGTCCTTATGCCCCAGGACAGTGAGATTGACACTATACTGTAAACAGGCGCCGTCCTTCAGATGAGATGTAAAACTGAGGTCCTGACTCTCTGTGGTCATTAAAAATCCCAGCGTGTTTCTCAAAAAGACTGGGGGTGTTACCCAATGGCCTTTACTAGTCTTGACCTCCTAATAATCCCCATCTATGAATTGGCTTCATTATGTTCTCCTCCCCACAGATAGCTGGTGTGTGGTGAGTGATCTGGCGCACTATGGTTGCCGTAGCATCATCCAGGTGTGGCTGCACATTGGTGGTGGTGGAGGGGAGTCCCCATTACCTGTAAGTGCAAGGAATTATTAATGTCATATTTGCTAACTAAAACTATATTTTAAAAGAAAAGTGGTAGGTTGGCTGGTACATGATATTTGTGGATATAAAGGTGATGTTTCAAACAACAGAATACTGTATGCCACATATTTGTGAAAAAGGTCTCTCCTTCCTGTATAAATTATGAAGGAAAGAGCTATAAAAAGCAGGTCACACTTTATGATAAACTAAAGTTTTTTTCTTAAAATGTAAACTTGACTACAACTGTAAACAATCTTGGTATGAAATCTCATCAACTTGGAAACACAAAAGATTAAAATATACTGTATCGAGAATTGCTTATTTATCAAATAATTAAAACATTATTGGAGGTCACAACAAAAAAAATAATTTTGGAAATCATACTGTAGGTACTGAACGTGTTTGACACTGAATACTTGAAATTGTTTACTTTGACACTGAATAAATCCTGGATAGCACAAAATAACCTATTTTTCCATTTTCCTTCAAATGCTTTATTTTAAAAAAGATCAATTTCTTGTATGGATTACAGTAGAAGAAGAAGTTGAGACCTGTTAATGAAAAAAAAAATTAAACACAACAAATAGCTTTTCCTGATTTTACTGTCCCGTTTCACAGAATTTGATTTTTAATCCATTTGCAGTTTTTTCGTCGCAACTGTGCATGGCCATCCAGCCCCATAGGTGTGTAATCTTCTTTCTAATTAATCTTTCATTCTGGATCATCAGGAATTTAGTGGAGTGAGCCGTTTCCATTTCCATAGCTACTAAATTCTCGGAAAAATTACATTTTAAAATAAATGAAACCGGGTATTAACCCCATTGATAGGTGAACTTCACGATGAGTTGTGGCAATGGTTCTAAAAAGCAGACTAAGCAGAAAATCAATGGATGTTTCTTGTACTCTGGAGAGAACAACTGTGTCTTTGCTTAAGGCTTCAAAATGTGTTGCTCAAGTTCAGTGAAATCTACTGAATATTGCTGTCCAACAGATCCATTCTCCTAATACGAAATCTTTGAAAAGCAAAATTAACTTATACTGATGAAAAGTTGCTACTTGACATTTCCAGTTTCAATTAGGAAAACGATACAGAATGAAGGAGAAAAAAATGTACACTTACATTATGTTTTAAAGACAGCTGTGTAGTAGAAAACAAGCAAAATCAATCAATAAATGGCATTACATCAATATCTGAGAAACGTTCCAATGCTTGCTTCCTTGGGCTGAAATATGGTAGCAATGTGTCTTGTTTCAGACAAGACAAATTCACTAATTTTTCTTAAGTATTCATGGACATTCTAAAAGACAAATATCTGTTCACCTAACTCAGTGACCTAATCTTACATTTTGAGTTAAATGGGCTTTCATTGTCTTTGACAATTGGTAAAATTATTTTAAAAAGCAAAACACAAATCTAAGGTTTAAATACTATGAATGTTTTGTAAAACAACAAGATATTCCTGAAATTACCCAGCATAATAAATATATGAAAATATTAATACATAATAAATAAGCAGCATTGTAATAGTGATGATTTTTTCCCAGTATATTTTCATAACCCAGGACAAATAGTAACAATAAAATTATGCCTGTGATCCTTGATACTCACCTTGAGCCACTGCCATGTTGACTTTTAAACAGTGGTTTCTTGTCAACTCCCCAAATACAGGTGTGAAATATGGTAAAGGAACCCACTTTTGAGAGGGCTTAAAATCCATTCTTGGTGCATCCAGTGAGTGTACAGAAACATTACAAACGATCTGGAACTGTAGGCACAAAAACTACAAATACGCTAAATACTGTACTGCATAGTGTACATTAAAAAAAAGAAATTCAGAAACCCCTATTGAAATTGACAGCAAAAAATGCACAAAATCCTGCACAAAAATGATACCACAATTTTCAGTCATAATTGCCACATCTCAAGAATATATCAAGGAAGAATACTGTTTTTGAAAAAGAATTTAAAATGCATGCACTGCTGCGCATAGGCACAGAAGTTACATTATACTGTATGTGTGATGCATGCATCAACATATTGCTCAAAAGCATTCAGTTGTGCTTCCTACAATAGCAAATGTTATCAATACTGCTTTTAGCAGTCTGAGTAAGATGAAACCAAGCAAAGTAATTTAGTAATGTTTAATTTATATTGATGAGAATCGTTAGAAATATGATCCAAACAACTCAAAGTAAAATACTGTACATGAACAGCCAATATGAAATGGAGTGTTAATCCATCACATTTATCAATCAAATCTAATTGATTCATTGTTGTCACTAACCTCATTTGTCCTTCTCTACACATGCTTAAAACTGAAATGCTTTTTGTAGTACTCAATACAGAGCTATCTCATTAACTGTTCACTTAAAAATGGCTAGAATTTCTGTACAAGATGTCTATAGAACTGTTTCTGCATAAAGGAGAAACTGGGTGAAAAAAGTAAATTGACAAAAAAAAGTAAAAATAATTTCATATAAAGAATAACGAAATGAAAAGTTTACAGCAAACTAGCTAAAGCCCATCAGTAAAATCATCAGGGCATCTGTTGATTATTACCGAAGGTTCAAAATTTGTGAAACTCCACAATATTTCTAAATACAGTACGTCTAAGAACCATAAAACCTCAGAGGGTAAAAGAAAAAAGCCACAAAGAATGTGCCACATAATTACAATGTTTAATAAGGACCTAAAATGTGCCACAAGTGCCCTACTTATCTCACAGAACGGCACAGACTAATTGTACAGCACACAGCCATGTGCATATCTCCAGCAATTAATTACAACAGAAACACACCAGCAGTATTACAATGTTGGCATTAAGTATACTTTTATATTTGTTATTGTTCATGTCTAATTCTACCTATTGTTTTTATTATTTCTTACAGAAATACAATATAAAGAATGATTAAACAAGTTGAACTCGACATTATACAAATACATTCTTTCATAAGAAACAAAAACCTGAATTACTGTAGCTTTTATTGTTTAATACCTAACATGTGAAACATGTATCGTAATACTACTGCTACTGTCCCTTATGATTTCACAAGAACACATTGTCTTCATTATACCCAGTTCACTGCAAGCTTTTGTTTTAAGACGCAAGCTAACCACATCTTGAATTGTGACACCTACTGTGTGCAACAGAGCTTCATTCTTTATATGACCAAAATGACAATGCAAATACGATGTTGCAATGGTAATGACAATAAACTGCATTTTAAAAAACATGGGATTTGAGGACTGTGTGTATATTTTTGGCAAAATGCAAATTTGGTTCAATAATTAAATTATACATTAGGCTCGAAACCTTATAGTTTACACAATATTACTAATAAGTTATACATGCTCTCAATATTAAAGGTTTGGAAGGTCAAGCCTTCTGGCCCAAATATTTTTTTCTTGTTTTTTTTATAGTTCTATTCTTTATGTATACATTACAATCATTTCAAAATGTAGGTTTTTATATATTATGGTATCATATGATCCATGGAAAAGTAATATTTATTTGCAACTTATGCAAATGGATGAATAGGTTGCTGTAATAACAATGAAAATATCTGCAAGTTACTTCACTGCAAATATAGAAACAAGGTTTCCATCTAGTGTTAAAAACAGAATAGCACATTCAGATTATTATTTCACAACAATGGTTCTGCGCTGTGCATGCTGTAGTGCTGTAATACTTTAGAAGTGTTTAGAATACAAACTTAGGAAAAATATTTTAGATTTGTTGGAGTCTCATTTCTTGTCAAAAGAAAATAAACCCAGGTCGTCCCATTAAATGTGACGTGTTAACTACAAAGAATTTAACACATGTAGGCTCTGCGAGAAAATCAAATTTTTACTTTGTGAAAATGTTACAGAATAGTGCAAAATACTGCAATACCTTTTTATGTAGAGTTTTCTATTACATGAATAGAAAAAGACTGGAAATGTGACAGTGCAGTTTGAATTTAAGCTCCTAGCACACAACAAGGAAACTGAAAATCTACATGAAAGCAGTAGATCACAGCTCTGGTCCTCAAATGGCCTTCATTAAGTTCTTAAGAGCCAAAAACATTAATTAAATGAGTTCTAGCCGTTAAATGCCTTCTTTGTTACCGTAAACAGAAGGAGTGATTATAATGTCATTTCTACTTACTAGATAACTTCCAACATACACAGTAGTACAATAGCATTTGTCTACCATTACAATATTCATGACACTACAAGGAGAGATGGGAGTGTTATATATGAAATTATCAACTCATTGCTTTTTGTCCATTTTAAAACTAATGAAAGTTTTCATGGAAAAAACACTATGTGTACTGTATGTTTTGCCTTTATGGAGAAAATTCTGCTGAATCCCAATCACTGTACATACTTCCTCAGAAACAAAAGAAATTGCTGAAATCAGATTTGTGGCTCCATCTGGATAAATCACAGAAATGATTCGAGTGATGATATTCTGATGATTCAGCAGTATTTTCAGAAACAGCAATTTATGATTTAATTTGTCGAGTGTTTTTCTAAAACACACAATACACTTGAGTAATATTACTGTACACTGTGAAACGTCTTAGTGTAAAAATAATTAATAACAGGCTAAACAGGAATAACATTGGCCTTTACTCCTTCAAACCACAGAAAAAAAATCAAACCTTAGCATCAAGGACACCAAGGGACACTTCACAAGTTTACTTTGATAGTACTCTGAGAAATGTTCAAATGCTAATACCATGATGTTACTGAAGCACTATACTCAAATCTTGATTTTTAAAAATGATTTTTAGACAATTTTCTACACATCACATGAATATGTATTTTGTTTTATATTTTTCCAATTTATCTACTGTAATCTATTAGCATGTTTTTTATGTACTTTTATTTTTATGTCATTTATTGCCTGTGTATTCATGTTTCAGTTAAGCTCATAAAGTATATTACTTGTATAGCAAGGGTTTTTCTGTTTACTACAGTATGTTATATTACTATGGTACTGTATATACTGCACATTTGCATAACTGTAGAATGTATATCTAATGCATGATGGCATTAATAGAAAGAACTTCTTTCTATTTTGGTTTGTGGAAAGACCTTCATGTTTCATAAAAATAAAATACACTGGTTAAATACAGTACACCCCATACATTATTTTACATTATTTTAGAACATTTTATACAGTATATAAACAAAAGCATTTTCCAAGTTTATATATGTGAATTATATGGATCTAAGTGTTTATGTGTGTTCTTTTGTAATAAAAGGCACTGACTTATAATCATTGCACTTAACATGTGTTACCTGTGTGTAATGTGTATACATATTACTGGATAACATACATTTAGAATGAAAATAAAAAGGTGGTGAGATCTGTTGTTTTTTTTTACGTGGCACCATGTATAAAGATGAATCATGACATTTACACCTTCTACCCAATCAAGAAAACAGCACAAAGAACCTGTAAGAAAAAAATCACCAGAAACTAAGGAGGGAGGAAGACAGATAATTGGAAACTACCCTTACCTTTTATAAGTTTCTCCATGGTAAGGAATTTTACTGAAACATTTATGATTTAGAATCTTTGTTAATGCAGAGCAATAAAGGCAAGACTGCAGAATAAAGCACTGCATTAAACATCTGTCATTAGCTTTCTACACAAAGTAATCCTATATAAATAATTAAAATAAGAGGAATAAACAGTAGTAATTCTAAGATCACCTATCCATATCTGCACAAAGGGCAACATGTGCACAGTAGTAGCAGTACATTGTCCAATCTTTGGGAAATGCTTGCGACAACTTAATGGAAGTTAATGGAATGTTGCAAATTACTTTATTCAAAGGAAGATACTACTGCATTGAAGGAAAAGTACATTATCTCTAAGGAGCTTAAATGATTCTTTTCAGAGTAGGGGAAGATATGGTCCAAAGATGAGGAAAAAAATCACAACAGTGCAGTGCATTGAAAGAGCGGTAAATCTTTTGGTATCCATTGGCCCAGTCTATTCAGCTTATTTCAGCCTGATTACTCCAACATCAACCATCTGCCAAGGTTCAGTCAAATTCTGTACTACTGTAACATAGAAAGCAATATCAAGTAAAATATACAGTACATTATGCCAACCATACTTTAATACAATTCAGATTTTCATTAGCAAATGGTTATTCAAACAGAGCTCTGCTAATGAGGATACTTTTGGGTTAGTACCATACTGTGTATTAATTTTCTTTAATATCTGAGAAGACAAGGTTAAGAGAGAAATCAGACAAAAAGAAAACTGTTGGCAAAGTTTTTTTTTTCTAATTGATAAGCACTAACTAACAAATTGTTTTTCGGACTGTAGTGGAATGAGAATATACTGTATTTAGCCTGACTTGGTTCAGATCCACAGCATCTGCAATCCTAAAGCTTTGGTTCTAATAGAAAAATGCATTTAAGCATTTTGTGCTTGACAAAAATACCTGTACTTCACAGAAAAAAAATTGAAAAAAAAGTGCACGTTAAGTTAAATTCTCATAAAGCAGGAATTCTCTGCTTACAAACCCACATTAAAGAAGCACACGCTCACAGGATGCCTTGAAAAGCCTCAAAAACAATGCACTGAACTTACAGTAGATGTTTGAACTATGTGGGAGTATTAAGTGGTTTGCTTTATGGTTAGAAAATATTTGGGAAGAAGGGGGTTTAGTTTTAGAAAAGTAAAACAGCAGTGATAATATTCCTGCATCATAATCTATGATGAGTCAAATATTGGAAAAAATGTCTTCAGAGGAGTGTAAACAAAAGTATATTTATGCATTACTGGAGAGTTTTATTCCTAGTAAGGGTTGCAACTATTGTAGGTAGGAATGAATGATAGACAGGACTAAACACTTATCCATTGAGAGGTACACACATGGACAATTTAAAGGAAATTGAAGCACCTAGAGAAAACTTGAGGGGAACTTGTGAACTTCACACAGAATTTGCCCCAGGTGTGAGGCATCTGCATTAACCACCATGCCAATATGTTAGAAGCTTATTCTTTGGCCAATTTGGAAAATGGGATTCAGCTAATTGCCAGAATAATCTGAGATCATTGTGGACGAAATTGCTCATGTTTCAGAACAAGTAAATCACAAGAATGATTTACTTAAATCCAAGGAAAAGCTTCAACACATTGTAGGTCTTCTGCCAAATGTATAATTAGAGAAGGAATTCATAGCTCCTGAGCACTTTAGGTCTTATTAAGGGAAAAGGGTTGCATGTTAAATACAAATAAAGCAAAAATTAAAAAAAATAATACTAAAGCACAATGGGGACAGTTTTAATAAACATTTAAAACTTTAAAATGTTATTTTGAACTTGACAGGGTGCTACACAATGCTCTTCTGCTCTGCAAAAGGATACATTCAGTTCAGAAGCCTGTTGTCTTATGTAAATAAAATGTCATCTTTCATATTCTACATTGTCTAGATTTGAGATGATCACCCAGACCGGCACAATCAGTCAATTACAGTGTTTGATATACAGTACTGTGTGCATATGTGTGTTTGTGTTTGCTGAGACATCTTATGATCTTTTATTCCACTGTGAACATGAATACTTAGAGCAATTCTGTATGACACTATTAATAACAATTGTTAATGACCTTATGAAGAAAACTACGGAATGAAGTGCTTTAAATATGAGAGACAGGATGGTATAGTAGGTCTCTTTACAAAAATATGATTCAATGGATTTGGTCATACATCTGATTCTGTACAACAAAGAATGAAATTGGCACTCCAAAGACTTGAGGTGAAACAAAGAGAAAAAATACATCCATGTCACATTACTACAAAAAAGATACACATTAGAGCAAATGCATTTCTTATGTTCACACGTTTACTTTGTGCAGAAAACTAACTATATAAATATTATAAAATTACTGCTATGCTAAACATTTAACTCAACTCAATGGTGCTTAAGGGACTCACAAGTGACTGAACTAAACCAACTAAAACTAGGAAAATAACAGCCACACAAAAGTTTAATTTGAACTTTAGGATTACTTTTCCATGTTGGCCTTCACTATGAAAAAAAGGTGTTTTAAAAATTCCTTTTTTAAAACTTTCTAAAATTATAGAATTAAAAAGACTGTACATTTAGCCATTATGTGATTACTTTCTTACATACCTCTAGAGTTGTTATATTTAAAAAATCCTTCATTTCACCAATTAAAAAACATATGCTAAAAAGGAACAGTCTTGTGACCTCTAAAGTGAGGCAAATCACTTGTAAGAATCCAAATTCAAGTTTTTTCAAGTTCACTACTGTAAATCAAATAGTTTTAGTGCTTAAGCTGTCTTATTTAGTATGAGAAAATGTACAGTATTTGACTACAGATATTTTGATAGTCATAGGGAAAGATTATTTTATTGCTGTAAATCCTAATAGTTTTCCAGATCCTTTACTAAAGAAAGAAAATGCAGGAAGTTGAGTGGGCTTTTGAACCAAAAACTTGGCTTCTCAACCAAGATAACATTACCCTTGGATTACAGAAGCCATGCACATGTACATAAACATGGTCATGCTAACACATCAATGACCACCTTTTCCTTTTCCATTTTGCTTTTTCTCCTCTTTCCAGAAGCAGAACTGCTACAAACAGACTGACTGACGGATAAATACTTCTCATCTGATCTAAGTCAGGCAGTCTGGAAGAAGCTCCTAATATTAAGAACCAAACCACTTAAAACTAAATTTATAATCAAAATGTTTCCAATGGACTATTGTAGAAAGTGGAAGGCACACTGCCCGGCAGGTGAGTAAAGGTCCTAGTGTTTCTGGTAATGATGTAAGCAAATAAGATTGTCTTTATCACGTTAAAACCCTAGCCACTCCACTGGCTTATAGACGTCATCTTGAAGGGCTGATTTCTTTTGCTACCATTTGGATGAAAGTAAGGGAGAGTATGTCCACTCTGGAGAGCTGCTGGAGCTCCTGTTCTTATGACGACTTCAGATTGATGGAGAAGTGACCAAAGTTGCAGTTTTGATCTTTTTTTCTGCCCGCTTACTCTTCTTTGTTTCATCTGGAACACATCTTTACTTTTAACACTGAATGTCCAACAACGCAACGCAAATAACAAAGACAGGAAAAAAAAAGAGGATAAATTCTGAAATGCGTCCTAGAAGGTCTGTGCATTTCGCCCAGGGCAGATCCCTCAGGATTTGGCAACGGTTTCAACATTTGTGCTTCATGGCAAGCTGAAAAAAAATGCAGAAAAAGAGAGCTCAATTCATTAAGAATAGCAGCAGCACATTATTTTAAGGTCTGGGGAAAGTTAATACAAAGCAAAAATACAAAGCAAAAAAGAACTTAAAAGAGTATCGATTTCAAGAAGACAAAAGGCTAATGGTCAAAGACTTGGATTTAAGATATAGATGCAATGAAATCCTTGCTTTCAAAAAAGAACATTAGTAATGAAATGTCAGGCATCCCATGACAGAGACAGGTACCACTTCAAAGTAAAAAGGCCATCACAGCTGTATATAATTTTTTATAAGTACACCCTTTTCTAAATTGCCTTTTATCAACAATCTCTCTGTCTAAACTTCAAAACAAACCAGAAAAGCAACAGAGGGCATCTTCGAAATATCTGTGTCACTTGGGTAAAAAAAGTAAAGGCGTTTTAAGAAAGGGCTTGAGCAAGACCACCAATTTAATACACCGTCATCTCCTTTATTGCCACAGTTCTGTAAATAAAATATTTATTGCAATTCCTAAAATGATCAAATGGGGGCAACAGTACCATAGATAATAGACCTACAGTATAGTGTTGCTCTCTTCAGCAATATTAGATATTAAAGGCTTAATCCGTCAGCAGGGATCTGAAATTTCTCATTTTATGGCAGTAAAGCTTACCTTTATATAAAATCAAAATCTACAAAATATAAAAACTCTGAGTACAAAATGAATAAGATGGGATAATTCATCCTTTATTGATGGTATACCAACACACAAACCCCCCACTTAAACAAACAGAATTTTACCAATTAACCCCAAACTTGGTAGGCATAATTCTATCAACTGGAGAGTTAGCGAATGACACAATAGGGAACTTGCATAAATTGGGTGCCCAACCATTGCATCAATTCATTTGGAATGTGGTTGGTATCATTACATTTAGCCCTGCTTCAAACATGCTCCTCACACACTACAGCCCCACTTTTCATTGCTTGTTTGGAAACATGAGTAATTTATCTTCTTCAAATTTGTTTGGCTGATCTTAGTAAAGCACACACCGTAAAGCACACATTCCCACATTCAAATTAGAATAAACTTCAACTTTGGAATTTGGGCAACATAAATGTCAGTATGCTGGGTTTTTATTCTTCTGCCAATCAATGTCACAGATTTCAAATAATGAAGTGAAAAATGTAACCCTAAGACTGACAAAGCTTCTGGCCCTGAGTAAATCTGACTGATAAGACAATTATGTATTCTATTTTTGCTACCTTTCATTCTGGAGAATGAACTGTAGAAGAAAAAACAATTATATATAACTTATTCTTTAAGGTTCTGTACTGCAGGTTTTCAGGTTAAAACATTATCTGCTAAGGGGAAACGACGAATAAATCAGGGCAATTATGGGGTAAATTACAGTAAATCTTGAATAGCTCAGGTGATCTGACTTTTGCGTCTTTTCTTAAAACCATTTACCAAAACAATATTTGCATTTCCTGGGGCAAGGATTTCAGTTACAAACAGGCTTGTGGAAAACAATTTGTGTTTTTCACATAAGACATAATTATCCTGCAAGACTCACGATGTGTTTGCTTGAGTTGTTTTGCAGTTAAAGGGGAACTGCAATGCTATTTTTATATTTCAGAGTTAGAGAGAATTGGCATTGATGAGTGTAAACTACAATCAAAGTAAAATGTACACGGTAATGTGTAAAACCTCCAAAATACATCACAAAATGAAAAATTTCCAGATATGCGTAGCGCCATATTGCCGTCATTGTCTGTGATTCAGAACGAAGCAACAAAACGTCCAGTGATGTGAAAAGGCCCTCTTACATTGTAAACAAGCAGGCTTATCAATGCATCTCTTTTAATCTGACTTTGAGACGGTTTTGCCGACAAATACTACTTACTTGTTCTAATATGATAACATTTCTGTGGTGAAATGTCTGCTGCACAACCCGTGTTTATGCGCTTGGACATCATATTACATGAGTTATTACGAGCAGGAAGGGTCGGTTTTATGTCTCAACTCACGCAAACTCTCGTTCTCGCCCGTGTCGAGATCAGCAGTTTTTGTCTACATGGTGACAATACAGTATCGCAACGTTCATGATTTTGTGCTAAGTAAATTCAGAATTGGTCCAATTTTGCTACTGTATACTGTCTTATTATTTTTTTGTTACCAAGATTTAATAACTGGTTTGAGAAAGTGTGACTGCAATTCCCTTTTAAGCACAGAACACTATATAAACCAACTTAATATGAGACACACATTCTTCCATGGCTACGACTGTATGTATTTTTTTTTGATAATTTATGACTTAGAACAAAAACAATTAAGAAACAACAAATGTTCTTTTATTTTCACCCTGAGATTCAAGGAAAGGCAATTTTAAACATCAACATCTTACATATTCTTACATGAAAAAAGGCCCTTAATATTACAGTACAAGACATTTTCAGCTAAGCAGAAACCAAAATATGTTAATTGCATAATTTTTCAGAAAACAGATTTGTCTTAACAGCATGAGTTGGATGTGCTTGACTGGAACAGCTCAACTATACCGGAGATACTTTTGATGCAGGCAGGGTTCCAAAAGAATTATGATGCAAAGATATCCGAAAGAAAACTAGATACTACAAGCAAACCTACCCTGTTATGATGTCCATTAAAAATATATCCACTACATACATTTAAAGGGAATATAAAATTTGAAAATGAAATGGACAGGTCTTTTGTTTTTAATCATTATCTACAATTGTTTAAATAAAAATGGCATGGACAGTATGTCCACAAGGAAGATAATGACCAAGAAATTAGAAACTGGCCATAAAAGAAATTAAGCAAAATCAAGATTTCAGTCTCTTCGGCCATTCTTTTTTTCTTGCAAAAAATAACAGATGCAGCTTGTCTCCCAAACTACTGTAACTCATTTATTCACTGTTGACCGTTGGTGTATTACCCAGATTATCTCAAAACCTCTGTAACAAACTGAAGAATTGTGATGTGTGTCACTACTCATTACAGTTTTTGAAACATATGAGAGGTATGCAGATACCATGTTTTTATCAACTACAATATAAAATCAAAAGATAATTATCAAAAGAAAAATTATCCGTTTTGGATATTACATAACAAATCGGCATATCTTAATGATATTTTTAAATGCTGTTGTGAAGCAGAACAACAAGCCTTCCATGAGTTTAAAGATTGTGCTGTCTGTCCCATTTAAAAATAAACTATGTAGGTGGAAATTTTGCGCATTTCTCCAAAGAAACCATTTTTAAGCTATTTTATTACAGAAATTCTTATATAACTCTACAACAGAACGCAAGATTTGCCATTAAAAATGAAAATAAGAAACACTACAGCAATATTTTTGGAAATGACAATGAACAGGTATCCTTCTTTAAGACGGATTAATGCTTCCACTACATCACAGCCTGCGTGCCTGGATCTCTCAAATATCAATTCTCAGGGCATGCAACTGTACTGCTGATGTAGAGACTACTCCAGGCATTCAATCTATAAGATCAGACGCCTAACACTTCAAGACCAAAATCACACCTTACAGCTTCACTTTCTCTTGCTTAGCAGTGTCCTTGCTTTTAAACCTATCCTGAGTGTTGAAAACAGATTTGCTTGATATGACAAAAACTGGCAGCTTACCCAAAGAAAACGAGCAACTCAAATTAGCAGACTGCTAAACCAGTCCTGACTACCAAGTAACACAACCAGGTAGCAGGCTGGTCCTAATTATCTTAAGATCGCAAGTTCACAATTCATTACAGGTTGGAAATGAATCCTCAAATGGGATGCCACATCTTATTTCCCATGACATCCTGTTTATACCAAGCTCAGCAGCTCCACTGACCTTAACAAGAAAGTGCTGAGCACCAGTGGATAGCGTCAAAAAATGTTCCAGCCAAATCAAATACCATCATTGAAGAGATGCAACATCACCAGACGCTTTAAAACTGCTATGAATACTGCAAGACATTTACTAAAAACAGTACAACAGAGACAACACAATCTTTATGGATTACAATTAAATTGCATCTAAGATATGAATGGAAGGCAAAGGGGAAGAAATATTTTTCAATGTTTTCAAAGTCAAGTAATCATTTTAATATTAAAGCAATCTGAGGTATATTTTTTATTTAACAATATGTAATAGGTGTACATTACTAACAACTTCATAATCTGTTGCAGCTGAGGAGGCTATTTTATCATCGGGGTTAAAGAACAATTGTTTTATAACAAGAGCTGTGGGATGTAAGAGTTTCAGAGTGAAGAAGACGATCTTCACTTATGGAAAGAAACTTGTGATGCCTTCTGTCATTTTCTTACCTTTATTCTGCATGATGGAAGGAGAAAAATGAGTGTTATTGCATTGAAACGGCTTCCCCACACCACTTGGAAAACTAGAATAGGGAATTGAAAGTTATAAAAAACGGTCTCACCTTATGTGCCGTTTCTGCAAACTGCTGGGCACTGTTCATCATGTCGCCCGTCTTCTCTTCTGCTCGCCCTAATCTCTCCCCGCGCTCGTTCAGGGCCTGACTAGCTTTCTGTACTGCACTGGTCACACTGTCTGCAGCTGAATGTAAGATGCTGTTACCTAGGATTTAAGTAAAAATACATAATTACTTTGACAAACCTCTCAAAAGCGAGAGCTCACCCATGTCTCTCCAGGACTGTGGATTTTAAATGGCAGCAGACAGCAACTGAGCTCTTGTGAAACACCCTCTAAATCCTAAAAACAAAGGGATAATTGCACCCATGTAGGAAAGCCATGTTTGGGAAGATGAGAAAGTGATGTTAGAGGCATGGCAGTTGCATTTTTGGAGCACACAGAAATGCAGTTCTGAAGGCAAAAGTATCTCATATATATAAAAGGACCAAGCATACCATTGCCATAATTTTTTATAGCACTCAATTTAACTGACCACAAAAAGAGCTATCAGCAAAGCTTTTACGGCACTATAAACATATGGTGCATTCTAACCATGCTTGCTGAACAATACTCTGCATTATTGTAGTATTCTATTAATAATGTATTAATAATAACAACCAGAAAATCAGAAAATGAATTTGATTAGTACCCACTTGAGAGAAATTTAACTAAAGTTAATATTATATTTTGCTGTACTGTCCTTTGGGATGAAAAGTGCTATATAAGTATTGTTGTTGCAGATGTTGATGTTATTGTAAATAATAACAAGAATATGAGCATTACTTTCAGTTAGCATTAGTCCTCTGAGGGGGAAAATATGACAAAGTATTCTGTAACTGACCACATCCCAAATTAAGTTTTCATCCCATACTGTAAGACCATAATAATAACAAAACCGCTTTAAATTCAGAACAGTCTGAAAATAATTTATTCCTATGGTGACCCAAAACAGGAATATTCTTTTTCCATATTTGGGATATTTCTCATTACTTTTTTATTAAAGAAAATTATATGAATGGAGAAGCAACACAATCCTACAAACATAGCTTTGCATATCTTGAAAGCTTACACATTTTTGATAGATAACCTCAAGCCCTGCTTATGTTAAAACTGACAAGCAATTAATCTTCCCTCCTTTAAGGCAAACCACTGCTTGATTCACAATCAGGCTGCTTCTTTAAAAAGCAGTTTCACTGGAGCAATTAAAAAAATAACAATTCTTTTGAATGTTGATTTCTAACTCTAGTGTAGATGTGACTTCTCTGCTGCCTTGTTTTTATGTATTATCTACATTATCTACAAAACAATTAAAATATTTATTTTAAAAAATCGCACAACCTGTAATGATTAATGGGACAAACTGATCTCATTTTGCTATCTTCTGTTATAATGCTTAATGTACTGAGAATTTCATCTTCTAGGTAAAGTGTCACTCCATTGTAAGAGCAGTGAATTCAATGAGCTCCATACTGTATATTATCCAAAACAAACAAAAAAACGTAAAAATAACAATATTGCTATTTATATTCATGAATGCAGAATAGCACAGTGGTCCCTGGAGTCAAGGATTCTAACCTTCTTAAAACCAATGGTGCTTACAGAAAATACAGTACATCTACAGTACAGTATGTGCAGAGTCTAAAAGAGATGATTGTGTTGAAAATGATGATGGATGCAAAATGCATAAAAAGCTTCATTTATTTCAGACAGAACAAATTCATATAAAGCACTTAAAACTATCATAAGTCCACGCACTACTTAAAGGACATATTAAAAGGCAGGTCTTGATATTCCTTATTAAACACTTCAGAACTCCGAACATTCTGCAGCACAATGTCAGTCCTTCAGAATTTTAAGGAGTTATACATTATATATAAATCTGGAACAGGTGAGGTGAATTGAAATTTTAAAATCATATGCCAATTTGATGACCTACCAAGGAAAAACACTGCACAGCAAGAGAGGGATGAGGGATACAGGTGATGCTCAGTTAATCTCCTTCATATGAACTGAACTTGATCATTCAAAGCCAGAGGCTCATCAAGTTCTGCTTTACAGTGCAAGCACACACACACCCCTGCGCAATGGAACTTATCACAGATTTTAAATTGCTTTTACCTGAAATCCAGTGCGTTTGAGTTTTCCACATGCACTATTTAAATAGATTAAGGAATAGATAAATACATAGAACTGAAACGTAAAAATGTGTCTAAGGCAAATGAAAAGAAACATGCACAGTATGTTCCTGGTTCCTAGACAAGGAGTTCTACAGGCAGTGTTACATTTCCCTTGTGGAGCTAAGGTGAATCTTTGAAGGGGGAGGAGGTTGGGATGGAGGCAAATGCAAATATTTCTATTGGGAAATTTACAACACTGCTGCTCACATTCTCAACATCCTGATACTGTATATGTTTTCATATGCAGTACATTTCAGAAAAACTGCTCCATGAATACAGTAGCTGCACATAACCCTGGCAATATTGTATAATTATAGATTTATTAGTTGTGTATTGGGTTTTCAATTAAATGTTAAAAATCAAGGAGGAATATTAGTAGTTTTCTAGTAATTTGTTGATCTCCTCAACTAGGAAAGGAACAAAACCTTTCGTGAATTACTAACTGAGCAAATTATTTTAAACACACAACACCATTCTCCTTGTCCACTTTTTCATTTGATATACAGTCTTTTATTATCTCAAATGATTTCAAAAAGCAAAAAAACAACAAAAAAAATCAAGTGAACTCTTAATATCATCCATTCCAGCATGATTAATCAACAAGCTGTCAATGGGACACCATCTACTTCTCCCTTAATAAAGCTTTCACAAAAAAGACTATACTTCTCATGAACAATACACTCCTCTTCTGTAGCACAAAGCAGTTTATTGTCCATTCATAAATGCCACCTACACTGCAGAGAAGATTAATGTTAGAAGGCCAGATAGCCAACATATTTTTTATTCCAAATGACAGCAGAACAGACTCCACCTCTGCTAAAAATGAGGAGACTAAATCCTTTATCACACCTCACCCAGCTCTCTAATCCCCTCGCATGAAGTGAGAGAGACGAGGCACAGTAAGTTACATTCTGCCTTTTGTCACAACCAATACTGCCTCTTGATCCTGTTCCAGTTGGACTCATTGCACCATCAAATGACTAGTATCCTCTTTTACAGGTAGACAGTTCTATTGCAATCATGGTTATGAAATTCCCATCTAGTAAGAGCATTTTATTCACAAAAAGAAGCTCAGGACCTACATAAAATGGCTCCAATAAGGCAGAACTTTACTAACAGATGGTACTTTTAAAGCATGTCTTACAGTTCAAGCTAGGCTATGCAAGAGGAACAAGCTTATGAAGGATGAACAACCTCAGAATACTGCTCTTTATTATATTTTTGGTCACTTGACTAAAATACACTTTTCACTTTTCTTTCATTGTATCTATTGTAGTTATTCATTCTGAAAACTACACTTGAGGCTCACAGTAAAATATTTTGTAAGACAGAGTGCTGTACAAAACATATAAGGCATGGTAAATGTCTGTAAATAAATTCCAAACCCATTTATGATGATACAGTCACACAACTGGCTTTCCTTAAAAGAGATTTGTGTAGAAAGAATGAGTATTATTTTAATTGCCATGTGTACTTAGCTTGCAATTTTAGCCATCAATGACTCGTAACCTAATTCTCCTTCAGGAAATCTGCTTTCATCAACTAGGGATACGGATCTCACAGAATCAGCATGGTTCAAAAGTCCAGTGCCTGCACTTTTATTCACCCTGAGGAATGTGCTTTATACAAACAAAAAATAAATTACAATAAATATTAGGTATACACTAGAAGAAACTGCAGAAGCACTATTTTATATTACCTAACATCTTATGACTAAAACATTTGTTTAAAGATACAACATATTGTATACAATTTAAAGGTTTGAAAAGGATGCTTATTTTTTGTAATGACAAACACTGTACAGTGTACTGTAGGTACAAAAGCTACAAATGTACTGTATCTTCAACCTTAAGGAATAACTCTTGAAAGGTTTATTCTGTTGTGGTACACACCATGAATTCAATAATGTTTTACTAAAGTCGAATCTTCTTTCACAGGTTAAAATCCCTTTCATTGGTAGAAACATACTGTAAGATCACAGAGTTACATACTGTACTGTAGATGAGAATAAGTAAAAATCAAACTTGAATTCCCAGTACAATAATACAAGTCTCTTGCAGCATCACTCTATTACTGAGTTTCTTGTTTTAAAAACCCTAAAGTGTATTAACCAAAGTATTACAGCCCCTTAAAATAAAGTAAAAGGTTAATGGCACACCTACACTTCACACACCTTTGATGTATTATTTCACAGATGTTTCACAGTATCTGTGAAATAAAGGAACAAATATGCACAGAATTTGAATTTTTGGCTGTAGGATCAAGGGGAAAAAACAATACCCAAATCTCAGTGAGAGGGTGGCTTAAATGTGCTTTTCTGTTTGTAATAATCTTTTAAAGCCTGTTATCTCATCCCGCCTAACACTGAGTCTTTTAAATTTATAGGCCAAGACACTCCTAATTGGCCTGGGCATGTCAACAATGTCTTGTACAAGGTGATGTTTGCACCACTGTGCACGCACCAAGAGTCTGCTTGATACGGTTGCATAAGCTGCCTGATTTAAATTTAAAACACAAAGGTTTGAGGGAAAATTCAAGCAAAGTCAATTACCATAATAATTCTGTGCTCGGATGAGGCTCTGGAGAAATTCTAAGTGGGTGGTTTTAGAAACATACATCTTCCACTGCTATGTTTCCAGTTCTCTCATCCATTTCTTTTAGTTCTTTGATTAAATGCATTCAAGCTGTGGGCAGGGAGGTCTGAATACCAGATGTGATGGCTGCACCTTCACTGTACAACAACATCAGCAGCTAACTGAACAGTAGAACAGTATGCAAATTTTTACAAACATTTATAAAGTGATACACAATGAAGATGCAGCATAATGGTATGGACTGTACTTTCAAGCAGTCAGCAGATAGGTTAATTGATTGCTTTTATTTGCAAGAACAAAATGCTAAACCTAAATTATGCGATTTCATAAAAATACCAAGTGTACCACGTATGCTCTTTATGTTGAGCTATGATTACAAAAATGGGCTGATTAA